ATTCGGGAGTGCATATGCGTCTTTGATGGTTTGGAGGTTGTTGAAATCTCCCAATTCTTTTGATCTTTGGGCTGAAGGAAGGACAATACTCGGTGTATAAATGCTCAATCAACAATCATTTATTTCCATACAATTCAACACAAAGAGCATTAAGACGTCCGGACGGGAGAAATGCTGCCAGAGGGTCAGGCACATTTTTCTCAACATGGTGGCGATTTTCACAGACTTTTATAGCTTCTGACAGCCCCCACCTAGTCATAAAAGCTACATCTTCACATGTTTTTCTACTTCTTAGCGAGACTGGCTCCTGACTTTGGCTCCCTGTCTTCCTGCAAAGGTGGGGGTATAGAATGTAGTTTATCTCCTGTGCCCTAGACTCAGAGTCTCCTTTCTCTTCATGATTCAGCAATAAAACATGTCAAGAACACAGTGTGAGACATTCACAGCCGATCAAGGATACAGAGTGATGCACATTTATCTAATAAACTAATATGTGAATATGTTCTGTTAACTCAAGAGTATAATGAGAACTAGACTACATACACAGCACACCATCTAAACTAAAGGATAATATATGTCCTACAGCTGTTAACATAATTCAACTACATTGACTAGGATCATAAAATAACATATGTTTTACTCATAATCTTCACAAGGTTTAACCTCCGGTAGTCAATGCACAAGCGAACTGAACCATCTTTCTTTTTGACTACTACGATTGGGGAAGCGAATGGTGATTCAGATTCCCGTATCATTCCCGCGTCGAGCAGTTCCTGCAGGTGCTTCCTCATGGCCTCCACATCGTGTGGATGTATTGGTCGGGGTCTGGACTTGAATGGGGTTTCATCACTAAGCTTGATGTGATGTTGCACCTTCTCTGTGTGTCCAAAATCCAATGCATGCTGCGAAAATACTTCAGGCATTGAATTTAGCAACTTTGTGACACGATTTCTCCATTCATCAGGTAAGTCATTTCCAAAGTTGAAACTGATTTCTTCAGGTTGAGAAGAATTTCCTGAGTGGTCTGAAGAGTTTGACATCTTCTCTGTCTGTTCTTTACATATGACTCTGGTCACGGCATTAATGTCGGCTAGCACACGGCCTGACAGGACAACAATGTCGTGATCGGTTTCATTTTTCACTACAACCGGCAGTTTACAAGGCCGCTTGGCTGGCAGGTTGACAAGACCAGTTAACACAACGTTAGCTTCATAGCATAAGTGCCTAAGTCATTTTTTGGTCAAATTGAGATTTTTGCCTAACTTTACTCCCCTACCACTGCTGCATCATCCTGTCCGTCTGCCTATGTCATTGGCCAATCACAACACTCATAAGAGTCAAAAAACATACTTGCCTAAGTCATTCATTTGACTTAGGCAGTTTTACCATTGGACTTAGGCAGTTTTGCTACAATCAATTTGACTTAGGCAGTTTTGATGTATGCAAAATGGCTGATAAGAAGAAGAGGTTGACCGCAAGTGAAGCCCTTGCTCTTCTTTTTGATTCATTTACATCTGGTAAAAGTTCATATTTTTTAGTTTTTTGGTCACTAAATGTATTTTCATTCAATCAAAGAGGTTATGACCATGTTAAAAGATTACTTTTTTGTTGCAAACAAAGTATGATGGCTAGCTAACATTAGCGTTAGTAGTGTAGCATTAGCATAGTAATGTAGTACAAGCTAGCAGCTAGCTAACAGCAGCATGCTACCAGAGTAAATCTTTGGCAATTTCAAAGGCAATTTGAGCATTTTCAGCAAGTTTGCAAATTATATTATGTTTCAAACATTTGCTTTTTATTAGGAGGAGAGTCTAAGGACGGGGGACGCCCTGGGTTCATTGTTAATTGTTAAATTGGACTTTATATTGACTGTGTTCAAATGACTGATACTGGTTGAACTCTATTGCCAGTAATATTCATGTAGCCCTTTGAGGCGACTGTTGTTGTGATTTTGGGCTATACAAAAATAAATTGATTTGATTTGATATTAATAGTACAAATTGATTTTTTTTTTTTTTTTTTACATAGCAGACATTTTGACTACACAAGTAGATTTAGATGTCATCTTGATTTACCATTTTAAGATACTCCAACAGCATTTTATTTTCTGTTGTATCATCAGGAAAGGAAGTTGATGTGAACTTAGAGGAGTTGGTGGATATAGATGAGGGAGAAGGAGGAAATTATGTTGATATGGGGCAACAGACTGATAAGCAGCCAGAGGAAGGAGAGGAAGATGAAGGAGAGGAAAAGAAAGGGGAAGGAGAGGAAGATGAAGGAGAAGAAAAGGAAGGGGAAGGAGAGGAAAAGGAAGGAGAAGGAGAGGAAGATGAAGGAGAGGAAAAGAAAGGGGAAGGAGACGAAGATGAAGGAGAAGAAAAGGAAGGGGAAGGAGAGGAAAAGGAAGGAGAAGGAGAGGAAGATGAAGGAGAGGAAAAGAAAGGGGAAGGAGACGAAGATGAAGGGAGGAAGAGGAAGGAGGGGAGGTGGAAGCAGAGGAAGAGGAAGCCAGTCCAACCCCCAGCACTTCTGCTGTTCGTCACAAGCGTCCACTGCCCCATACGTGGAAGAAAAATGTCATCAAAGAAAAGCGTCTGAAGGGAGAGAATTACAAGAATACAATGGGACAGGAGAGACCACCAAAGGCCATGGGCCCACCATGCACATCACAGCACTGCTTCAAGTCAACGAAAAGAAGTTGTGAGCTACTGACTGAAGTTGAGAGAAGAGGAATCTTCAACAATTTCTGGTCCATGCCTTCCTGGGAGACACGCAAGGTGTATATCCAGACTGTTGTTGAAAATGTGCCCATAAAACAGAAGAAAGGTGGTGTTGATTCAAGGAGAACAACATCTCTGCTATACCACCTGCAACTCTCAGATAGATGCAAAATACCTGTGTGCAAAAATCTTTTCTGTTCCACACTTGGTATTGCCCTGAGAACCATTGGATCATGGTTAACTGCAGGCATGAAACCCAACACTCATACCCAGCCCAACCCCAAGATCAACAAGACTGGTCCTCATATGCCAATATCAGATGGAGACCAGGCCTTCCTGAAAGAGTGGCTCTCTGGAATACCTACAGTCCCATCCCATTACTGCCGCCAGGTTCCCTCTTATCAGAACAAGAAGTTCCTGGAGCCAGGAACAGTTTTGAGAGAGCTTCACAAGGAATACCAGAATGCTGCCAATGAGAATGGAAAGCGTGCTGTGAGTGAGACATACTTTCGGAAGGTTTTTGGAGAGCAGGATTACTCTGTGTTCATTCCAAAAAAAGACCAATGTGACATCTGTGTAAGCGCCAAGGTAGGAAATACAGATGAGGATGCTCTTGCTACACACTTGAGATTGAAGAGTCAGGCTCAAGCTGAAAAGGCTGCAGACAAAAATGAATCCAGTGACACACTTTCAGTGTGGACAATGGACCTTCAACGCGTTCTTCTTTGCCCCCAGACAAAAGCAAGTACAATGTACTACAAAACTAAATTACAGATGCACAACTTTACCTGCTTCAACATGAACAACAGAGATGGGTACTGTTATGCTTGGGAAGAACATGAAGGCTCCCTCAGCAGTGAGGTTTTTGCACATCTGCAGTCCAACCACTTTGAGTCTGTCCTACAGGCCAACAGAAACATTGAGAAAGTCATTGTCTGGAGTGATGGCTGCGGGTATCAGAACCGGTGTGCTACCATCAGCAACGCCTACCTTTACCTGGCCATGAAGCATGGTGTCAGCATTGAGCAGAAATTTCTAGTTGCAGGCCACACACAGATGGAGTGTGACTCCATGCACAGTCTAATTGAACGGCGCATTGTGCAAGACGTTTACACTCCACGAGATTACGTTGTCATCTTTGAGGCTGCACGCATTAATCCATCCCCATACAGGGTGACTCAACTATACCACAATGACTTCATGAAGTTATCTGGCACCTATGTCACCAATATTCGACCCGGCAAAAAAGTTGGGGACCCCACAGTCCATGACCTCCGGGCTTTGCAGTACTTGACTGATGGACGGATCAGGTACAAGCTGGATTTTGAATCTGACTGGGAAGACCTGCCTCGGCGCATCAGCATACCCGACAACAAGCCATTCAAGTGGATCCCACTCTTTCCTGCTCAGTTGCCCATCACCCTGAGGAAATACAGTGACTTACAGTCAATGAAAAATGTACTACCAAGAGTGGCCCACAAGTACTATGATGATCTTCCTCATCAGTAGTATACATAGCCTACCAAATAGTACACACACACACACGCACGCACACACACGCACGCACGCACACACACACACACACGCACACACACACACGAAGAGAAAGAGAGAGAAGAGAGAGACAAACACACACAGACAGATACAAACACACATAGACACACGCACACCTCTTTTATGAGCCTACAGGCCTCCTCTGCAAATTAATGGGTGGGTGAGGTGAAGTGAGTAAGTCTCCTTACTCTAGCTGCCATTTTGTGATTAAAATTGAAAAGTTACAGTGTGTTATGGTTACATTATAGTATGTCATGTTCATTTTATAGTTTGAAGAAAAACTGCCTAAGTCATAGGCATAATCTGCCTAAGTCACTTTTATTAGACAAAAGAAATGATGTTGGGTTTTGTTCTTTTTCCATACTTTTCCTCACATATACTTAAATGTTCTGTGAAAATATCAATTAAAAATATGCATGTGATATTTAGAAAATTAGTTTTTTCTTGTTTTCCGAAAACACAAAAAAATGACTTAGGCAATTATGCTATCAAGCTAACGACAAGCAAACCACTGGGTAAGGGAAAATCTGATGATGATTCGACAACTGCACATTTCTCATTAATGGAGTTGGGAATGTACACCGAAGCTTCTAAAACTGCTGTCTGCCCTGCCGCCACCACGGCTTGCTTTTTACCCGTTAACTTTGCACACCCAAGGCTGCAATTGCTAGCGGCTTTTCGACGTACTCCAAGGATTTTGAGGAGCGTTCTGAAACCATGGGGACGGGCTGAAAGTTCGCACTGGACTCATGGAAGTCAGCATAAAGGGCATCTAAGGTATTTGTACCTATCAAGATCTGCTCTACATAGAACGCGGAAGTGTTAGTGCAAGTAGTCCATTTCAGTAAAACGGAGCGAGTTTAAACAGTTGGCGTTCGAGAAACGGTAAATCTGTTAAATCCGACTGTTTTCTTCCAGTGTCGCTGCTTTCGGACTGACGAAATAAAGAAATGGTGAAAATATCTGTTCTGAAGGTGGAGAACCCATCGTGTCTCTGGGGTGCCATTTGGGGTCTCAGCGGCGATGTGGAGACTTCAGAACATTACAAAAAGCTACATTTTCAGATGAACCTCTTCTACCGCGACACCACGCAGGACGTGTGCACGCTAAAGCCTACGTCGTTGGAGGAAGGACGGGTGTATGTGGTGTACTGGGCGGTAAAGAAGTCGTGGTTTCGGGCCGTGGTGGAGTCGATCTTCGTGGACTCGGTTTCCTGTCAAGCTTGTTGCTTTCTGGTCGACCACGGAGAGAAAGTCGTCGTCCCCTCAGAGCAGATCCGGTTGGCAATGGAAAACTTCCTTCAGCTGCCTTTCTGGGTGCAAAAGTTCCACCTGGCGGGAATCAAACCAACAACCCTGCGAGTGTCTCTGCTTGAGGAGAAGGCAGAGCTCAAACCGTCAGCTCGGTGGGACAGCTCTGCCACGCTCTTCCTGCACAAGCTGCTGCAAGCATCGACTCTAAAGGAGGCCGTGCTGCTTGAACCTGAGTCAGACTCTACCCCTATCAAGCTTTACGTGACTGTTGGTGACATCAAGATCTGTGTGAATGACGACTTGGTGGCGAAGAGGTTTGCCTACTACAGCACAAAATCAGGCGACGGCCTGGAGGAGGGAGACCGACTTCCTGTGATGCTGTCCTACAGCATCTTAACCCAGAGCGTCTCCCCCAAGCCGACAGCACAAACCCAACCGCCTCCCGATCAGCAGAGTCTGGTTGAAGCTGGGGGGGCAGCTGATTGGCTTACAGCTCCTTCCCTGCTTCCTCAGATTGTACAACACAAGCTGGTGAAGGCTGGAGGTGAACATCGGTCAGTGGTCACAAAACAACAGCTGTCTCCAAACAGCCAGTCAGGGAGCGGCTCAGACGCAGCTGAGAGCAGCTCGTCAGACGACGCAGACTCGTCTCTGGCTGCAGCCCTCACAAAAAACCATCAGCTGTTCAGGTTTCTACAGTTTATGAAGCCGGGCAGCAGTTCCGAGCTGGCAGCTCCCCAGGAAGCTGAGGTGTTGCCTCTGATGAGTGAGAAACCAGGAGCTGAGAATCTTCAGAGCTGTCAGGCTGAATCTTTGGTGGATGAAGAGGCAAGCAGCTCCAGCACATCTGTCGCCTCGGCTCCAGCAGAGGAGACCCAGCGCAGTGAGAAGGACTGGGCCTGTGCACGCCTGTTGGAGTTGTTGAATCCACAGGCTCTGAACCCCGATCCTGATGCCCAAGACGCTGTGGTTTCTCCCCTCGACCCCTGCCGGAGTGGGATTCTGGTGCACGCTACCTTCCCAGCAGAGCCGTGGATCAGTGTGAATGACCCCGCCATCGCAGACACCCTCTGCTGGGTAAACAAGAATACGCCCTGAGTTTGTCATCAGGATCTTTAACATGCTAGGAAACGAGAGTTTAGTGACCTGAACATTCAGGTGTAATTGTAAATGTTGTGAAAGTGGTTTCGTTATTAACAACACAGCATCAGATTCAATTTCAAATTTGAAATGTTCTCAGAAATGGTTCAGAAATACAAATAAAGTTGTTGTTAATTTAAAAAAAAAAAAAAAAAAAAGGATCTGCTCTCGCACCTCGGCTCGCAGAGGGGGGATAACTAATGCTAGGGTATTAACACTAATATCCGAACCCACAAAGTTCTTGGGAAAGGTGATTGAGAGTTCCACATAACCTAGATAAGGGACAGATTGGCCGTTTGCACACTCTACGTCTAGGAGATCGCCCAACGGGTTTATAGGCAAGTCTGAGAGATGCTTCTCATAAAAACTCTGAGGCACGGTTGTCACTTGTGACCCTGTATCAAGAAGACAGTTCGTTTCTCTGCCAGCGATGTTGACAGTAGCAGAAGTTTTGGTTCCGACCAAACCCTTTGGGAGGTGTATAGACGGCGCTTTTGACTGAACTTCCTTTGAAAAGGCACGTTGTGGCTTGGGACGAGAATTGTCTCCGGCAGCCCCCACTTGTCCCACACTGGAGGCTGGGATTAGTTTAAAGGCGGCTCCTCACTGGCCCTAGTTGATGCTTCCCAACTAGATTGCCTTTCTTTCAGCTGTTTCTCTTCGTGGCCACTAAGGATGGATTTGGTTCGTTTTCACATGATGAGGCAATATGACCGTCCTCACCACAGTGAAAGCAGTACCAAGGACGCGGCTTTGCATTGGCTTTTGCAAAGTTCTGTGTGGTCGAAGCCTTCCTTTTCGTGGGGTAGACTTCGACTTTGGCATTAACTGTGTGGCACTTTGACTTTGAGTGCTTGGGCTGATTTTGCTTTTGGCTTTCTATTTTCCAACTGTTAAGTTGTGCACTCAAATCAGCAATTTGTTTCTTTAACACATCGAGGTCAGACTCACAGCTACTTGCTGTTTGTACATTTGACATGGCCCAGTGCTTTGGATTACTAGGGCCAGGTTTGCTCTGACCAAGATGTTGTCTCATACGACGGACTTTTGAGGCTTGCTTGTCCTCTTCCGTGCGTAGAAGCAAGAGTAGCTCAGAGAACAAAGGTGGGCTCTCTTTTCTTTGTCCTAGCTGGAGGTCACTGATGAGACTGTCCTCCAACAGCCACGAAGAAATTGCTTTAACAATTGCTTGTCAAAATCCGACACATCGACACCTCCTCGTCGCATTGCTTTGGTCAAACAGACATGTAACCTTTGCAAATAGGCTGATGGTCTTTCTCCTTCATTCTGTAGTGTGTTCATGAATCGCGCATAGAGCTCGTCGCCATCTTCGACGGCTCCAAACGCAGAATCGAGTACTCTCAGGTACTCAGAGGGTCTAGCATTTGGACCTAAATGCTTAGTGGCGTCTGTGGCAGGCGACAGAAGACTGTCAAGTATCCTCTGTGTGCAGTTCAAGTCAGAAACGGCTGGATCACTCATGAGGACTTCAACACTTGTGCGCCAGGCGTCGTAATCAGCTTCACTGTTAGGGCGAGGAATGCGCCCAGAGAAAGCTCTAATCCTACTCGGCATGGGCGAGTGTGAAGAAACTTCACTACTGCGCACCATATGTTCAACTACCACCCGCCGGACATTGGGCGGGTTAAGCTCAAGTGTGGGATGGAACTGGGTCGGTGAGTCAGGATCGATCAGGTTTTGATTTAAGGTTGGAATCGAATCCGTAGACTGTGAGAAATCGGCAGCAGGTTGGCTGGGGGAATGGTCACCCTGTGCATGCAACCTTGTCTCGCCTCTGTTAACAGGGGGAGAAACTGTAGGCTGAGAGGATAGAGGGGGCGCGTTTAAGTTAGCTAGCCCCTCTTTGGGCATGTTTTCTAGCGAGTGGCCACTAAGATTGGCCATTTCAGACAGTTGTCTCATGTATGCTCTGGTGACATTCCTTGCATTCGCTGCATACACCTCAGTTAAACTCCTAATCTCAAACGTGACTTCAGGCTGAGCAGAACTTTGGATAGTCTGTGGCAAAAGGGGATTCAAAGTATCCATTGCACTGGCATGATTGAACTCAGCTATCATCTGCCTGTGAAATTCAGAATGCGGATCATCTATACGGATGTGGCGGCTAACTGAACCGTTTTTCCCCAGGTAAATAGCTACTTCTTCATCGAGGTCGCTGTTAGTAAGCCCTTTTATGATTACTGCGTTAGGGATTTTAATTGCCTCTTTAAGTACTACGTCCATTTTGTCAAACTCGGTTTTGATTGTTTCTTATCGTTGTAATACTTAATAAGATGAGTCTCATGCAGTTTCACAATAACTCCTGGCTGGCTCGCCAACTGTAACACTCATGTGCGTGTTTCGAATACTCCCAGATCAAAAACGGCACGTCACCCAAATTTGACACCAAAGAGCTCAATGATTTGGACCAGTAGGTTCGGCTACGTACAGGAGAGGCGAACTGAATGAGACTCAGACAACCGCGAGTTTTGAAAAGTTACCGGAGTTGTATTTTTCTTTTCATTTAGAAACAACAGAACATTATGATAAACATACAAAACATTTACAAATTAAATTATTCCCTTTCGGTACCAGTACTCTCTCAATGATACCTTTTGGCAAAATCACAGTAATCACTCGATGAGAAAAAAATCTTACCTGGGTGCACCCTTTCTAGAAGTACAGTTCACATCCAACAATGAACCACAATTTCAATCATCAGCATATAAATGTTAACACTTACTTGCATTTTCACAGATTTCATTACAATTAGCAACAGTTAATCAGCTGGAGGGTTATTTCCAACCGCTCACACTCACTTTTGTTCACATTTATGGAATGTACAGAGTCCGTGAACCCAAGTCCTTATAACAACCCACCTGCGAGTCCAGAGGGATGTATGTGAAGAAGGGGGACTACTAGTACAAAATGGCGTGATGTGTTTCTGTTTTGTTGCATCTGGCCTACCACACTCTGATGTGCAGGACAGAACAAAGTCAATTGGTCCTTCAACGCCATCAATTTCAGGATCCGTTGGAATGCACCAGGAAGATACAAACCAAAGAAACAAAAAAACAAAACCAAACAACAAAAAAAAACCTGACCTGTCAACGACAGTGTCATGGGACATATTAAGTTCCTCATAAAATCACAATTCACACATTCGCTTCAACTACTGGGTTTCAGTAAATTGAACAAAGTTTCCTACAGAACATTCCTAAACAATTATCATTAAACACTGGAAAAATTTTACTTGCAAGGCATTCATGAAACACCGATAAATAATGAACAAGTAAAATACTTTGCTCACCGATCTCAGAATTAGAAAGACGGAGCAGCGCGAGATGGCGCACGACCGATGAAATGGCGTCGTCTCTAACTCCCGACCTTTCTCGACTAAGCAATGTAAAAAGAACCAGCTAATTACTCGTCTTAGCAATATACAAACAATAAAATAGTTTTAGTAAACGGTGAATGCTAACTCTCCGCTTATATTACTCTTTTCATACCTTGTCTCAATAATTCGCCGTGTCTCGTTTCCTCACTAGCTTGCTCATGGAAGGTTTGCTAGCGAAAAAGAGAGAAGAGAAAAATCTGTGTCCTCCTAGGCAGGGGCGGCAGGCGGAGCCTGTACCACGTTTCAGCAGCTCATTGGCCTAGAGTAACACGTGTCTAAACCAGAACAGTTAACTCCTTAACTGCTGCACCTATGGTTTATTCATTATAAATGAAGTGTGCTGCTTAGATTAATGATTCTTTTCTCATTCTGGCATATTTTATCTAAGCCATACTCAAATGTGGGTTACATACACAACACGGGGCGGTTCAATTACAAACACAAGTCTAACTTAAGTTTCACACTGTTTTTTGTTAGAAAACAATCACATTGTTACATGCTTAATTTACACAAAATGTCAGAAATCTGCACTGTCGTGAACATAAATTTAATCTATTTTTTCATGATTTGTTGATTTAACCCACTGAGGTCTGAAATACAACCGGTCTTTTTTTTACTCCTTTAGAGTTTACGTTTGTATTTCACCCTCAAATTGTTTCATTTTATTTTTTCCCCCTTGCCTTCTTTGGTATCATTCTTTTCAGCAAGCAACTTAATTTAGTTGTTTTTTCACTGACATACTGCATTAGTATTACTGATCTGAAATCACACAAAGAACTTAAAATCCTGGTAGTATTTTTTTTTTATTGTACAAAAACACACAGACATGTTGAGTAATTTTTTATAACTTGAAATGCAAATATAAATTGTACATTTTGTAATAATATACAACTATTTATCTAAAAATGCAACCAATACATCTGCCGGGGTTTTTTTAATTTTATTTTGTACAACAACTTAAAAATATTACTAAAACTAAAATGAGAGAACAATCAGGTGTCGCAAATTATGTGTGTCAGTAAAAAAAATGTTTTTCCACCAGAAGACAGAGGAGAACAGCACAAAGATAAACCAGCAGGCTTGACAACAGGAGATGTATCACTCCACTGGTTTTCTACTTAGTGAGAGTGTTTACATTGCAAATGTGCCTTTGTGACATTCATTAGTGCCCTCACTGACACACAAAACAAAACGACTACACAACAGAACGACTACACAAGACAACACAACACACCAATTATGTAGCCGCTAGACTGGTGGACCTAAATCTTCACCACCACGTCTGTATACATACAAGCAGAAAGGGGAGTGAGTGGGTCAGCGCTCAGAGCACAGAAATTTAGCTGGCTTCAAACACACCATTTATTTTCAGGATAAAACACGGTTACAATACAAATACAATAAAAATAGTGTTTACAACCCGCTAAAAACCCTGCCGGCAGGAATGATTAAACACTAAAAACACAAAGCTGAATTAATGTTTTTCATATGCTAAAAACTCCCCCCCCCAAATTCTCCTGAGCTGAAAGAGACAGGAGAGGAACTCCTCTTCCGGGATGGGGAATCTCGCCAGCAGAAGACCAGGGAGGAGGCTCCTATCTCCACCTGACTGTGCGCGATCGTGCAGTCCAGCCACTCTCCCCACCCGCGCACGGCCTCCCTCGTAGCTCCGCCCTGAAACAACAGACACGGGCCAGCAACGTTGTCGGCGCAGCCGCTGTTATCCTCCCGTGGCAAAGCTACGCCTAGCGCCCAACAGTG